GTGTGGTGGGGGGGGGGGGGGGGGTATGCAACGATAACTCTGGGTAGAGCTTGTTACTGAGTGTATGGAACGAACTCTGGATAGAGATTTCTAGTGAGTGTGAGGAACGGCAACTCTGGGTAGAGCTTGTTAGTGAATGTGAGGAACGACAACTATGGGTACAGATTGTTATTGAGTGTAAGGAACGACAACTATGTGTAGAGATTGCTAGTGAATGTGAGGAACGATAACTCTGGGTAGAGCTTGTTAGTGAATGTGAAGAACGACAACTATGGGTACAGAATGTTATTGGGTATAAAGAACGACAACTATGTGTAGAGATTGCTTGTGAGTGTGAGGAACGATAACTTTGTGTAGAGATTGTTTGTGAGTGTAACAAACGACAACTCTGGATAGAGATTGTTAGTGGGGCTGTAGAACGACAACGATGGGAAGAGATTTTTAGAGAGTATTGGGAACGACAATTCCTGGTAGAGATTGTTAGTTAAAAAGTAGAGTAAGGAACGACAACTCTGGTTATAGGTTCTAAGATAGTGTAAAGGACGAAAACTCTAGGTAGAGATTGTAAGTGAGTGTAGGGAATGACAACTCTTTGCAGATATTGCGTGTTGCATTGTAAGACATATTCAACCACGGTCAACTCAATTATTAGCGTTATATAATATATTTTACGCCAGGTTCAACCTTATGATTTCTCTTGTGAGATATATATTGATTAACCAGGCTTACTTTGGAGGTTATACTGTATAATCGTCCCAAAAATAAAGGCACTTTGCATAAATCTGCAAAGCACTTAATGCACAAAAATGACATAGTTTCGGCATTTGACTATCCGTTATATTAAAAAAATGTTTTATAGAAAATGGGTTTTAGTTCAAAACAGATGAAGTTATGAAAGTCTACAATTGGGAGAATTAAATAATTGTTATGGTAATTTGAAATAAATAAAACGTTCCAAAATTATTAATATGTACGAGAGATCAGGTAGAGTCATTTATAATAATAAATATACTATAAGAAACATTAAATAGGTGGCTGTTTTTTATCCCAAATTCAAAGTTTTGCAAATATGCTGGTATAATAAAATCACGAAATTTGAAGAGATTTACGAAACAATGAAATATTACTGATGTGACGTTTTCCCTGAATGCAATATAAAAATCATATGCACAATTGTTTTAAGCAACGACAGGGGTCGAGTGTGTAGCATGAACTATGACAGGCTACCATGAAATCCTTTTAAAGCATGCACTATATATGTTCACTTCATAAACATGTGTTCCATAAATATGGACTCCTTAAATATGTACTCCAAATATATGTAAATATGTACTCTAAACATGTACTCCATATAAATGCACTCTATACACATACACTCTATTTATATGCGCTCAATAAAGATTTACTCCATGAAGATGTACTCCATATTATGAACTTCATACATATGTATTTCATAATCATGTACTCCATACATATGTTCTCAATAAACATGTAATATATAAACACGGGTTCCTGAAGCATGTTTGCTCCATTTCTAATGAGATAAGTGATACAAAGTGGCAATGGAATAAAAGTATTGAAAATACCTCGAGAAAAAGGTTTTATTTTGCTAAGATCGTGGCGGATGTTTTTTTCTTGGCGCATGTTTATTGAAATTTCACATCTATTTTTCTTACACAACTTACTTTTCCCGTGGTCTATGTAGGTTGATAAGGAATTTGCCGGGATTAACCTCAGAAGCCAAAGCATACGTACCCCTAGTGCCGTCATTTGGGGATTTCTCCACTCTGAATGAACACCAATCAAGACATCGACAGATATATCATACTCCTAAACATGGTCTCAGTTAAAATGTTATATAACGTGGAACATTTTGAAGCTTGAGACTTTATAAAAAAAGGAAATAAAAAATGAAGACCTTAAATGATTATCAATACTTTTGTTCCGATATAGGAGTAGTGATAATAATATTTTTTGTTTGAGCATCATTCTGTCCTAAAGACAGTTTAAACTTCAACTACCATTGCAATACAAACACAACATGAAATTCAATCAAACAAATAGAGCGATTATCTATTATATATGAAATATACGTTTAGTTATATGATGTCCAATTGTGAAAACAAGGAACCTAGAACAATTCTGATATATTTACTTACGTCATCCTAATGTTCGGTATATTTGTAAAATATTTTGGCAATATCGGTCTGATTCTGTTGTTTACAATGTTCGTGTACTCTTCAACTATTTCATCCTGGTTAAAAGAATCAAATTAAAAACATCTCACGTCAGGAAGGTACATGCATGGGGTGTACTGTATGGAAATCCCACCTGAGAACCCTTTTATACAAAATAGTTTGAACTGGAGGCTTGCACAAATTTTAAATTCTGAGAGTGGGATTTCCCTATGTTACACAATTGAGAATTATATAATTACTCTTTTCTATCATTCCAACAGGTTCAAGTCGTTTTGATTGTCTACTGCATAAAAAAAAAAAAAAACTTTTCCCCTGGGATTATTTGACAAAACAAACCGGTCTTTGAAATTAACATGCAAAATTCTCCTTTATGCCAACGTAATATTGCGTATTTTATAGATTATTTTCTTAACCTGCGATTTTCTATCATACAAGATAGGAATTAATAAAAAATTATTGTAGATGTCGATTCTTTAAAGGTGATCATAGCTTACACACGTTTTATTGTACCTTTTAAATATTTTGGTAATGTCTACAATATTCCAAAATCCTAAATTACGTACGGAATAGATATGTTTGTAGATAAATTTGCTAATAAACCGCTTGCCATTACTTTCCTGAATTTGATAAATGTGTTTCATAGTTGATATCGATCTCGGTAAATATTATTCCACATTTTTATGTATTTTGATTTTACTTACTGCATCATCGATGATGAATCGAGCGTCGTTTTTAATACTGTCAAAAAAGGCTTTTACAGAACCCGTGAAGGAAAATCGATTCAAAACCTGAAATAAAACAAATTACAATAGAAACATTAAAAATAATCCGCTTTGTAGAAATACGTGATTTTGCTAATATTTAAAGATTAAACCAAAAAAAGTTTACCGTGAAAGTATAAACAGAAGAATAGAAAATAAAAATCTTCACAGGAAAAACATAATAAAATGGTGTTTTTTTCCGTTTATGAAAAATGGACGTTTCTTAGATTAAGCACTAACGTTTGCCCCGGCAGAAGGGCATGACGCTGACATTTTGGTATTGTAAGTAACAATTGGTTTGCAATGAATAAAATAGACAAAAATAATTGAAACAATCATGCGCATCTGAAATATTGAATCTATTACCTGTAACTGAGTGAGATCGGGTTATCTCAGTCGCGGGTTAAGCTTAACCGAGGTTGGGATGTTACAAAATCTTAGCCCGAGACTGAGTCAACCCGATCTTGCTCAGTTACAGGTAAAATATTTTATCAATCTTTGTTGTTATTTTGGTTTTTTTTGTTCACCACCTTTTGCATGTTTCCGTATATTCGGTTGACCTCCTGCAGTCCAAGGTTGTGAACATACTCAGGCGACACATCCTGAGAAGTATGCCAATTGAGACACGCTCGATAGTAGTCGACACCATTCCGCAGGGACTTAACAGACGTCTGAGGCCTCGTGTGATGAAGGTAGGTCTTTAATGGAAACAAAAGTAATATAATATTATTAATAATAATAATAATAATTCGAGGTTCTTATATACCGCTTTATTACAATCTAGTTCGTAGGTCGTCTCAAAGCGGTTCACAAATTAGTATCCGTGGTTATAGGGCCTTTGCAAACAGCCAATATCTTGCTCAAATCCCTGGGGAGCATACAGCCGGTGCTGCCATTTCAGCGCTCAGAGCTAGCATTCTACAATTCTAGCACTGCCCAAGCACGTACTCATTTACAACTGAGTAGACTGGAACAAGCGGAGTAAAGTCACGAGCCCGGCGTCCTACCACTAGACTACGTGCCTCCACATGTATATACATACATGTATTTCACATATTTACATGTAATTTGATAATTAAAATTGCATGCAATTAAATACATTTACATGTTGTACACTAACATGTTTTTCTTCCGTTTTATTTGTTATTGTTGAAGTTCTTTGCAGTGGTTTGTTATTAATTCAATATCCCTTGTGTTTTAGCTTCAACTTTGAGTTCCAGATATTGCCTTGTGTTGATGATTTGATATTTTTCTAATTGATGTTATTTCTTAATCCTTTGAAACCGAAATGTGAGAAATATGCATCTAAATTTAAATATATTCACATTGATAATGTAATCTCTGTCTTTGCTTACTTTTGATACAATTGAGTGATAGTGACACGTGATATATAAGAATCGATATGAAAAATATTTCACAATTCAGTTTTGCCATATTTTGCGTTCTTCCTTTCTTGAACTGTTAATTAAAACAACTCACGTTTTCTATATAGTCTTTAAGTCTTCTGTAAGAATCAAGTACTACTGCGATGCCCTCTCTACCTCTTCCCCTCAGCGACCGCCTTGATGATATGATGAAAATAGTATTAGCATAATTATGTACTGTTTAATTTGCACCTATTTATTTATAGTTACAATGTATATCTTAAATATTGCTTTACCTTTGGAGCCAAGCCGATATTCTATTGGTAATCTTTTATGAACATAACTAATAGATTGCTTAACAAACTAACATACATTTATGACATGTTAATAATTTACAAATTACATAATTGTCTGTTAATATTCTTGGCTTTGAATGATCGCTAAACCCTTAGACATATATCTTATCTGAAGCTAATGTTTATTCATTTTTTAAATTTTGTTTAGATGTTGCTAAAATGCACATGTTAATCAGTTGAACTAAATCTCACTAAACAAATCTCACTAAACATAAACATGAAAAATATGAATTGCATACTTCTGAATTTACACAAATAACTTAAAGAGAAATTGCTAAAAGTATACTCGATACAGCATATGATAAGTGATTCCAAAAATGACAAGAAATTGTTTCTAAAATATTGTTTTGAATGAAATCTTATACCTGTCTTTCTCAGGTATTAAAGACTTCTCGAGTGACTTGTTTAACGGAATATAAAAGTTAGACTCATCAACACCAACAAGCAAATCTTCAATTTGATCTGGCACTGCGGCCTGAAAATAATACAAATAGTTAACAAAGTAGTCGGCTAGTTAAAAAGTAAAGTAAAACGATTTAATATGAATAATTAATATATAATTTTATTACATTGGTACCAGTGAAATATCGGATTATATCAACATGATAAAACTGATATCTTTTACACTGTGACAAATATCAGTAGCGATATTTGCACAGTGTGAAAATATCACCTTTTCTATTGACAAATTATATCTGTATCTTCTATTCGCTGCATTCAAAGGCAACGTTTTTTGTTCAGATTCAAATGAAGCGACGGTTGAATAAGTGGCTGTTGTGGTAAATTGTTTGGTTACACACTTAAGTATTTACATAAATATACTATTAATAATATTTTTTATAAGCAATGATACCAGAAAATAACAGAAAACGTCGGAATTGCGTTGTGTATCCCATTCCAAATGGCGCGCAGCCTTGTTGTCAAGCATGACGTCATTAGAATATGGCGCTAATTATTACGCTTCTGATTCTCGCTCTTTTTAAATGCATTACATTTTTCATGTTTTATGTTTTAAAAATGTAATAAATAGAAAATGTAATGGTGTCTTCAGTAATAACAAATATATTTCACGAGTTAGGCTAATATTTTGATATTTTACACGAGTGCTGCATTAAATATCCTCTATATATTTACATTTCAACGATTCTCCTTTGATAAAAATGCACATTCTTTTATGCAAATACAGTTTGAATTTTCTTTTTTATATAGTTAAAATTATATACTTACGATAGAAACTTTGTGATATGTCAAACTGAGTCGAATAGCTTCATTCATCCTGGAGATTACTTCGTCGACCTGAAAGAGAACAATTGAAATGAAAATAGTAAATTGAAATATTGTTAGCTTTATGACAATATATATGTTTAAAATACACCCATCTTACCTATTTTTGATAAAGAAATAAATAAAAATTGGTTGATTGAAATCTCGTAACCTTTTCGTTTTGTGACATTGTGTATACTTTTGAATTCATTCTTAAACTTAACATAGTGATAACTAAATACCTGATTTGACCAAATTTACATATTAACACCAACGTTTGATGGGTAAAAACAATGTCGATGTACAGTAAATAGAAACCATGGGATTCTACGAAATCCTTTATTCCACTAAACACTGATATACTGGTAAGGTATGTTGTCTTACCAATTTTGGCATGTTGAACATTCTAACAATGTAATTTTCGAAGTCACCTCGTGTGTTAGTCTCCGCTTTTTCTACCGGAAAATACAAATGGATCCCCTCTAGAAAATTAACAGGACTCAGCACATACCTGGGGGTGAAAATGAAATCGGGTACATTTTGTAATGATCAACGACTATACCACATAATTAAAGCACTAAGAATACCGCGCTTAAAATAAAACAATTCTGGTGTTTGTAATGTTCCAAAGAACGAAACAGTAAACAAAACCATCGCTGAGGTGAACTATTTCATAATAGTTAATAATTACATTCTATATCACAGTCAAAAATCAACCAAGACAAACAAAGCAAAAAATTAACGTTACATTAACAGCTGAGATGAATCAAAACAGGAGGCAAGACATAGCATTATCGCACGTCAGACAAGGATTTCCCACGTCATACCCGATGCTAGATTTTTTTTTGCAATCTCGTCCGATCTGTCTAGCACCTCTACGTGATAAATTATATTTGACGATGTTGATTTGGTGATGTATTCATCCGCAAGATATACCAAATAGGAGTCGGTATTGAAATAATTCTTTTTTATCATTCAACATAATAAGTTTGCATTAACATTATTATTCCCAGTATATATATCTATTCATTTATGCCGTGGTTTTCATCTCCTATCAGCACAACCTACATGTACATTGTTTATGTGGACGCTTTCAAACGCAGCTTTAGTTGTGAAGAGGTCATATTAAATTTAGGGCCCACACGGGATACCTGTGTACCATGATAGAAATTGAAATATAATCGAACTATTGAGGTGCGAGGAGAAACACTTTCCTGTAACTATGTGGGTTTGGGTTACCTCGGTTATGGGATAAGAATCTGCAACATCCTGAACTCAATCGGCTTGCGTTTTTGTTAGAATACATTTACAGAATCTTAGTTTTCTACCGCGAAAACCCGATCGCGCTTAGTTACATATCATATGATTAATTGATAACACAGTTTGACCTATATCGATCTAATTAAAAAGTCACAAAAAGGGAAGACAACATAAAGCTATACCTATATCACGTCAACAAAATATGATATGCATCAAAGCGTAAGATTGAAACTAGTTAATGTGATGGCGTTTTTGCATGTTGTATAAGATTACTTACGTGGCCCATTTGTAACCCTCGAGGTAAGTTGTTATGTAATCTTTGAAAATGATATACTCCATTTGCTTAGCCTTGCTAAGTTCATCCTTGTTAATTATCTCCACCATTGACAGAAATGATTCAACCGCTGCCTGCAAGGTAAATCATCTTAAGTTCGCCATTCACGTGCAAGTAATAAAGAAAAAAATCTTTATTTTGCTTTCAACGAGTCTCCAGTAAATATATGTGGATGCGAATATTGGGGTATTGAAACATTGTTTATTGCTATTGTTATCTGAATGGATCCATAATGTGCTTAGTCTGCAGTAAACTATGTCTTTTAGATGGCTCTTCAGACTGATAGATATATACCAGAACACTAAATGACAAAATAAAGTCGACTTTTCGAGATCAAAAGAGACAGACAAGAAATAACTATTCATCACACAAAACAACACCATAAAAATATCGGCATTTTCTGAAATAGTACTGTTTGAGAAAGTGTTGTTTATGTAAGAGTAAGTATAGATAAAAATATTTCATACGTTAAAAAATAAAGTCCAAATTGTTTGTAATATTGATTTATATTATAATGTATACAAACCTTTTTTCGTTCAATCACAGACAAGTTCATTGATCGTGTGGCATCATTATACTTATATACGCCCTGGTAGGTTGAAAACTCTGGGGAATACTGCATCCGAAAGTCCCAGAAATGACGTAGTACGAGATCAAAGGTTACATCATCAGCTACATAAGACAAAATATCCGACATCTTTACAGTCACACGACCAAAGAAAAAAAACAATGACAACAAATGCAAATGACGGACAGATAAGATAACTATTAATTCGTCATTTTTTCACATGCACGCTTACACAACACACATGGAATCACGTCCTTAAATGACCTTAGCTGTTAATAGGACGTTACACAATATAAAACCAAAACCAAACTCTCACAAAAAACTTTGTAAGGAACACCGTGCTACTGCCGCACTTTTAACTGTATATCAGAAACTTAATATCTGTCAAGGTTCTAGCCTTGAAACATATTAATGACCAACAACATACTGATCTTCAGTCTTCAGATAATTGTTTTGTTGCGCTAACAATCTGAGTGATGACTGATAAACGCTAGAAACCTTTACCAGTCACTAAACAACATTAACAGGAGGTTCCTTCATGTTTGAATAAAAAACAATAAAAGTATCTAGTGTTTTGGCTTAAAGAGGAACAGGGATCATTTAAGAAATAAATGCTTCATCTTTCACAAACGACCCAAATATATGTATAACTACGGTAACTACGGTAATTATTGCATTATGCCTTCAAAGGCTCACAAGATGCATGTGTATTGACAATACTCGAGTATTGATAAATAATAATGCAACTCAATGTGTTTAAGGGAGAATTTATGACCAAATCAAATAATCCTTATGATTTGTTAGCATAACGTTGGTCAATGTTACGCTTTTAATTTACATCCGTTTAAATAGTAGATATCTGTAAAAGTCTTGTTCAGTTTTAAACAATGAACAATAGTTTGATACGTTCTTATGTTTATAATTTGTAAGCAAGCACAACGTTTTCCAATAATGTATAGCTCTAAATTAACACTATTTTGTAGCGCTCTGAAGTTAAGCTTAAAAGAACGAACCAAAGTTTAATACGTCATTACCTCCCCTACTCATGTTCATCTATAATAAATGTAATATTTTAAAATAAAGCAAAATTACACTTGTAAATTATACGGCAGCAATATGTGTGTAGGAGTATTGTTATACAATTTACCTTCAGCTGAGATAAACGCCCAACACAGCACACATACAAACATCCACATCTGCAAAACACAAGCCATGGCATTCCTTTGTATTGTTCGATAGTGGTAAGACATGTACCGATGATTTTATACTGCAAATCAGTATTTACACACAGTATACGACAACTACACACGTATTTATTGATATTAACTTAAAAAACAAAATAAAGTTGCAATAAAGATGAATATTTGCAGGAACATTTGATGGATAACAAATTTAGATGCTTCTGATTTTTCGTATATAATCCTTTAAATGATATAAGTACACAATAGCATGTATGAATAAGATAACTAGGTATATACAAAATAAGGATACATGGCAATTTAAAATATTACGTGCCTTCGGAAACATCATAATACATCTCCTTACCCTGATTTCTCGTTGTAAGCTTTAATTCCAGTTTCTATATATATCGTGAATCATATCAAGGCTGCGTGTTTTGTGCATCACAACATGGCAGGATGAAGCGTATCACAGTTTCAAGCCTTATTGTGTATGTCGATACAGTTTCCAGCCAGGGAGATGATTAACGTCTACAATTTCCTACGACGTCGTTGTTGTGTATATTAACGGTTACCATGACTTACATGCACTCTTCTTGAACCACCTATGCTAAAGATAACAGTTTTTTCACGTCGAGTGAGATGTTCACTTATCAGGAGCTCTCGGAACCTAGCTATAGCTTGTCCCTAGTGATTTAAACTTCTTTTTTTCTCCCTGAAGTGTGGTTTTTTTTTGGAAATTTTAAAAGAGATCCAGATGCAATCATACGTTTTTCCAAAACAACCCCCATTCTTTGCTTCTTGTAGTTAATATTGTTTAACTGATGTGAAATTGAATAGGATTTAACCTAAATTTCTTTCTCCAAAGATACAACACAGTGCCGTGCCGTGACTCGAACCCGCAACCCTTCGGTCACAAGCCCGGCGTCCTACCACTAGACTACCGTGCTTTCGAACAGCTATATCTAGTTTATTAATTAGAGGATAGTTGGGGAATATTGTCTCGTTAGACTAAGTCAATAACTTTGACTCGGCATACAGAATATTCTTACGCATAATGGAATCTTTAATATGAAAAATAGTTGTATATTTTGGAATATCCTACCTTCTATATTCTCGGTTAACGCATCATTAGACGAATTGTACAAACAACATTTCGGTATTGCCCAGAAGCTGGCATTCTTGCATAGACTTACATGTATACTGGAGTAAATGTACAACCTACACTTTAATATTAAATTAGTCATTTTTTATTTCAAATACAACTTGCCTATAATATTGTGAAGGTACAAGCGAATAGGTAAATTCACATTTGTATGACTACATAGCAGTTTATGCTATGAAAATAACCATGTTCGTAGCGGAACCTAGCAGATGTTATGCAGTCATGAACGATATACATTTATAAAAGAGAATAAATCTGAATGATGACAAGGACAAAAATTGCATCATAACGAGAAGCCATTGATCTAAACCGGCACGCGTGTATTGGAGAAATAGTTGTGGTGTTACTTGACATGTGTATTATACATTGTGTGCAGGTAAGTGAAGCTTGAACTTCTGTAAGTGAATAATTGGGTGGTAAAACAAACTTATATACTTACTGAGGAAATATAGCTTAAAGTATTGCTTTTAAGGTAATCCATAAATAATACACATATTTTTGGAAGTGAACAAAATCTATATTTTTATTTTCCACACACGCGAGTGCAGTATTTCCCAATTTTACCGCATATTTTTCCAGTTTTGATGCCTTTTATAAGTACACTCCACTGGGGCCGTTTTCTGTTCGAAGTCCAATACAATGACAAAAACCTTCTATATTTAAGGAGTGAAATATTGACACCCTGACAACTATATATTAATTTCTGGATCGATATAAATCTGATGGCATTTTGTTTGTGAATTTTACCATGTAATTATACAAATACATTTCGTAATAGAACACAGCTTAGTAAACCAAAAGTGTGGATTATCCCCCTTTGTTGCATGGTGGTGGCGGCTGATACTGGTTTCGGATTGTTCTTTGCTGTCCAGTCATTAACGTTGTTGTCAAGTACACTCAGTGGCATAACACCATTGGTGAGAACGACGGAGTGGAAGTCGCGGTATCAAACAATGAACCTGGTTACAGAAACAGCATTACTTATACAGTGATCCAGGAATCAATTAAGTCCGTTTCCGGTAAATCAGGGAGACTCTACATGTATAATGTGATTACAATAAAATACTTATTTCCCGTCCATTCCATTCTCTTAACTGGGCAATATCTTATTAAAGATAAACTTAGGGTTCGAATTCTGAATGTCCAGGTCCCAATGTGTATTTCAAAATTCAAATCGTTTGAAAGTTTGTCCAGGCCATTCTTCTTAACGGCTGAGTATAGTATTTAGGCACGCTTAAAAAATGACGATGCATAATCATTAACTCTAATGTCTTCAGTTTGGTAAGCCAAAATACAACTTTGTTAAGATACTTGAAAGATGAAGATGATTTATTTTCAACTTTTTTGATTGATTAATTATATTCGTTTACAAGATGATTTGTACATTTTATAATACTAACATATTATAACATGTAAAACAGGGTAAACAAAGATTTTACAAGTAATTTTGATGTGTAATGCATATAAGAATTTTTCTGCACCTTTTTATATATGTTTTTAACCATGGTTACCTGGTATAACCTGGTAATTGATTTAAGTTTATGTAATTTAACATAGCTTTATATTTCATTTGGAAATATTCAAATTGAATTGTTTTGCTTGTGTATAAGAAAACATTCTCTTTAAATTCAAACTGTACTTGCATACTTATTGTTAGGTGTTTTTTTAATCAGGAAATTCATGGATGCTCGACTTTCCTTCATGGACAACAAGAACACCATCAATTGGACCAGAAGATGGAAGCTCTCGTTGTGTATTTGTACTGATGTTAGGTTTTGGCAACTTATGTTTGAATTTTAGATGTAATTACACCACCATAACATAGTATGTGTAACATACTTTGGGATCATAAGTTAGGGGCAGAATGCAACTGTTGCATTTTTAACTTCTCAACAAATAGAGCAAACATTATATGCTTCCTATTTATATAATGGAAGGAATGTAATGTCATACATATAATATCTGTTGTTGCCAGTAATATAGATACGAAATAGCCAATTCTATTTATTTGTAGCCTAAATAGATAGCACTTTACATTTTAGCATTTTCTTTTTTTTATACTCTCAAATATTAAGGGCCACACAAAGGTGGGAAATAATCCTACTTATGTTGGATACACCAGCCATGAAAATAAAAGCATAAATCATTTGGTTTATAATCCAATTTTCATAACTATTGATATTTCACCATTAAAATTTGTTTTCATTGTTAACGACCCTTTCCTCTATTTGTTATAATAAATGTTAACTAATTCATTTTACATAATAATTAAATCTTCAAAGATGTGCTACCACGGCTGATGAGGCAGTGTCATGTGCGTACCTTCAGACAACATGCACTTCAGCGTCTGATTTCTTCATCAAAAACTCTCGAAGTGACGATGAAAAGATGTGACCTGCCCTTTTGTTCCAACCCTGGCAAATCTAAAAGGAAGCACGAGATGATCCGGTGCCCTTCATGTGATAAATGGAGTCATACATTTTGTCTGGGTCTGGAGGAGGATCAGTTAGTAAAAACATGCATATTCTGTTGCTAAAACGAATGTTGTTATTGTTGAGAAATCAAGTGTGATATACAGATAAGGACTAATATATGATGCAATGATATTAATTCTTGCGATCAATTGTGTCCTTAGCTGAGATTGTCTAGGTATGAATAAGGACCAGTTATAAATGACACCAACAATTTATTGCGGATGACTTTCAGTATTATGCAACAAATGTTGTCAAAAAAGTGATAAAAATACATTTATTATGACACTCCTGATGATGTATTAAGTTGGAAAGAGCAGGTTCAACAAGGGTAAACACGACTCTGAAAATGTGAAATTAACACATACATTTACTATTGTTCACTAAAACATTCTTTAAACATATCAAATATTTAATCAAGTACTTATACAAAGCAGACCATTTCGAAACCTTTTAAAATTACATTAATGTGTCAATTTCGTGTTGAAAAAAATAATTAAAAAAATGCAAAATTCATTAACTCACTTATATAATTCAATCAAGAGATTAAAAAATAATTTGTAATAAGAAAAGAAAATATGGCACTCATTGCAGTTTTTTCCTTTCTTGAACCTATTCATTTTATTATGTTATATTTTGGATGATTTTTATGATAATTTGAGGAAGAGGAGGCTGGTGAGGGTAAAGGTGATGAAGAGGATGATACAACTGGTGATATTTTTATTATTTATTATGATGATTTGTTTCTGTTAAATCATGATTGTCATCCATGTTGATTGTTGTGAAATAAATGTTAAAATGAGAAGCATTTCTTTATTATGTTATCTATAATTGCTGTTGATACATGACTTTGATCCATGAAATATGTTGTAAGTTATAAGTCGGTTACATGTAGCATATTGATTGAAATTAAAGCACTATCAAAAACAATTATTGGTAAACGATGTTGATACATGATTACAATGACTAAATAATTGAACAGAATGAATAACTTCCACAATTCAATGGGAGTGTGTGCTGGAACCAGATTGTTTATCTTTTGATATGTCAATCTCCCCATCCACAAAAGGAATCTGATGTAGAATAATTTTACAGTTTTAATATTTATTCATAAAATACTTATGCGTATAAATACCTATCTCTATTCAAACACGAATCACCAATCTACCCTATACTGTAGCTATAAAATACTCTTCTACCCCATAAAATAACCATCTACCCTATACTGCAGTCATTAAATACTCATCTACAACCATAAAATACTCATCTACCCTATGCTGTAGCCATAAAATACCCATCAACCCCCATAAGATAACCATCTACCTTATACTGTAGTCATAAAATACTTATCCACCCCAATAAAATAACCATCTACCTTATACTGCAGTCATGCAAAACCTAATAAACCCCCATAAAATACTCATCTACCTTATACTGTAGTCATAAAATACTCATCTACCCCCTTAAAATAACTATCTATCCTATACTGTGGCCATAAAATACCCATCTACCCTCATAAAAAAAACATCTACCCCATACCGTAACTATAAAATACCTATCAACCCCCATAAGTTAAACATCTACCCTAGACTTAGTCATGAAATACCTACATACTCATCTACCTTATACTGTAGCCATAAAATACTCATCTACCCCTTAGAAAATACTCATCTGCCCTATACTGTAGTAATAAAATACTCATCGAACCTATACTGTAGCCATAATATACTTATCTACCATATACAGTAGCCATTAAATACCAACCTACCCCCTATAAAATACTCATCTGCCCTATACTGTAGCCATTAAATACCTATCTACCCCCTATAAAATAACCATCTACCCTATACTGTAGCCTTCAAATACTCATCTACCCTCATAAAATAACCATCTACCTCAAACCGTAATCATAAAATGCCTATCTACCCCCCTATAAAATAACCATCTACCCAATACTGTAGACATCAAATACTCATCTACCCTATACTGTAGCCATAATGTAATCATAAACCATATGCTGTAGTCATTAAATACCTATCTACCCCCCTATAAAATAACCATCTACCCTATACTGTAGACATCAAATACTCATCTACCCC